AATGATTTAAATGACCCATGGAAACCCTGATAGACACACATAATCAAAAATGTCTGTGGACCTTTACTGGTTGATGATTTTCTTTATTCAGACCCTGCTTTAATTGGTCACCCCTGCCCTAGTGGCTAGAAAATAAAGTAGTGTTTTATATGATCGAGGTCTTTACAAGGTTATTATTTTTTTATTATTCTCATTTCGACCAGATCAGATAATCTGAAACAGTTTTTCTGCTCATGGAGCTCAGCGTGGCTAAATGCTAACTGGTTCTGCTGAAACTCTTTGGTGTGGAAGCTGTTCCTGAGTGAAGAAAACACTAATATTCTGATTAGTGATTGTATCCATTGGCATTATTAAAGGAAAAACAAATATTGTAATGCTTTCAATTATAGTTTATTTAGAGAATATTAAATCTGTTCAGATTATCTTTAGCTTTTCAATGTTTTAGTGGAAACTATAGAAGTAAGCCGTGTAGATTTGGGAACCCATTGTTCCTGTGGGTACATTCTGGTCATATCTGGCAGTGAGCTGCGGCCACGCTGTGCAGCATGCAGGAGTTATTTTCAGACACGTGGCATGAGAAGAATTTTTAGCCCGTGTCCAGACAGAGTTAAGATTTGTGGCTCCCTGGGTGGCATCTACTGCACTTCACTTTTGAATTTGTTCTCTTCTCATTTAGAAGATTCCCCCCCAGATAAAAACATCTTGCTCACATTTTAGTGTTATTTGTTGTAAATCTGCCAGTTACTGATTTTTAGCCCTTCCATGTGTTTCTCCTCCAGCTCGCACAACCCCAGCCATGAAAACGGCCCCTCCGGGCTCCAAGACCCTGAAGCTGCTGTCCTCTCTGAGCCACGCCCCCGCGCTGACGGTGGAGAGCCCTGCTCAGCACACAGCCCCGCTGTACGAGAGCGAAGAGCTGTAGAAACCGAACGCCGCCTCCTCCGTTTACCTTCAGTCAGACCTGAACAACTGGACTGGAAGCCTCTGTAACCGTTGTTGTGTAAACATACAAATGAGCTCGGATATATACATATATATATATATTTTTAGCATCACAGAAGCTTAGCTGGAGAAATGGTGTGCATACTGCAGGGGATTATTTTCAATAAGCTATTTCTGAGCTCAGTGCACCAGAGGTTTCATGATATCCAGATATTTTGAGGTTAATAGGCTGATATTGGAGACTGCTGTTTGCTGCTGAACTCAGCTTTTAGTTTGAGCCTGTGTGTCTGTCCCGCCTGCAGCCTCTGGGCTGTAGATTTAGAATTAGATGTCTGCCACCCAGTGGCCATTCACGGTACTGCTTTCCTAAACGCTGTGTTTCCCAAACCACATTTGAAACTTTCTATGGATTCTGCATTTATAATGTAAAACCTTTAAATGAGCTGGTTTTAATGTTCCTGTCGAGGTGTATTTTAAAGGCAAGGTGGTAAACGTTGCGTGTTTTTTCTTCGGTCAGGGTTAGAAACCAGTGCAGCCATGAAGCACAGCACTTTAGGTCCGTCATCGAGCTCCTGCCACGCCGCAGATTTGACTGTAACTGATGGATCCTGACTTACTGCTGCCTCTGAAACGTCTGGAAAGCAGATTTGATCTTTCTAACCTTCGCCTCTCATCTGCTGCTGTAGTCTAGATTAAGCTTTGTCTGTTTTTAATGTTTGTCTCATACAGTTTCTGTTTAAATAAATCAGAGTGTTGGCCCTCAGCGTACAGATGGCAGCATTTAGAAACCAGTGGCTGCTGTTCTGATACCAACCTGCACTCAGGGCAAAGTTCCCGTCCTCCATGTTTACATTGGATCACATCTGCAGAGCAGAGATGCTGTTTTCAAGCTCGATTACAAAGAATATATCGTCCTTTTGCAGCTCCTGTAATCATCTTTATTTATTCAGCCTACAGTTGCAGTCTCCTCATTTAAATGCGCTTTCTAATTGGTTTGATTGGAACACAATTTTTGTTTGTTTTCATCTGATGTGCATGCGAGGAAAGACTCTGACTCAGTTATACCTTAATAATCTCCACAGAAGGCTAAAATCAGAGCCTTAAGAGATGAGAACCGTATTTATGGTTTACATTTAGCCTAAGCTGATGCTGTTCAGGACTTGCTGTGTTCAGGTTTCTGGCTCACTGTGGGGGGGATTAAAGGTCAAATTATATTTTAAACTGTAGGTGGGAGTGTGTTTGTAGTTTCTGACTGTGATATGAAACAATAAATGACTTAAAACTAAACTGGGAGTCCCTCTCCTGCTAAAATGTCTTTTTTTTTTACGTTTTGTCGCCATCTAGTGGTGTAGGGATAGAATTTAGCTCCATTTTCTGTTGCAACAAAGAACATATTTTAGTGTTGATTGTTTGCCAAACCAAACATCCAATTAAAGTTCCATTAAGCCACTACTAAGGAACTGGGGTAAAGTTTCTGAATGCAGGCAAAAGAAGGTTCAATAGCCAAACTTGATGATTGTTCCGGATGGTTTATTTTCTATTTCAGCCAAAAATTACAGAGTTCAAACTTTTCCTTTGTCCTACCCTTCTTGCTCTGGTAAAAACCATAGGCCCCAAACCCAAAATGCCTCCTGGTCCTTTCCAAGACCCCAAAACTTCAAAAAAGGGAACGAACCAAAACAACTCCCGGCAAAACCCAAAAAAAAAAAAAAAAAAAAAAAAAAAAAAAAAAAAAAAAAAAAACAAAAAATAATAAACCGCAAAAAAAACCCGGAAAAAAAAAAAAAAAAATATAAATTTAGGAATCAACAATATTCAAATGGATAAAGAAATAAAGAATAAACAGCTCCAACACATATCTTGCATTTTTTATTTCCATTTAAAATCTAAAAACTTTCTAATTAAAATGGTATTTTATTTCTCCAATTTATCTTTTTCATGTTGAGTTTTAATCATTTAATTCTTTTCAAATGGAAGAATCATGAAGTCATTTTGACAATGATCATTTTAAAGTGAACATGTCACCCTTCAGTTTAGAATAATTTTGGTAAGACGTTCTTGAAGACATTAATTTATCAGCCTATAGCTTGTTACTATCATCAGTTAATGGATGAACTAGCTTATCTTGAAAACAGTAGAAATAGCTCACACTCGTAACATCTTCTCATTCATCAGGGTTAGCTTCGTTCCTACTAAAAAGCAATTGAGAATTTTTTGTTCTGGAGCCCTTTAATACCTGAATCATTGTCATTTCACTGTATATGGCTGATAAAAATCTCATTCACAGAGAGAGAGCACCTTAAAGAGCACATTTTAAGATATAAATTCAGTCACATATTCTGACAAATAAACATCTGAACATCAATAATCATGATTTACTTTTACTTTTTTGTCTCGATTCTTAGATGTTATTGAAGGCCATATATTGTTCAGGAAGTAAACTAGAACAATTAGCCTCTTGCAGGTAACAGGATTGGGCGGGGGCTGATGCTGTAAGTCTCAATTTTTTAAACATAAACACTTAAAAAGCCAACAAGGGGTTGTTAGTATTCGTGGGTTTTACTGTCCTTTCATTAGTGATGGTAAAGAGGCATCTTGAAGCCAAACTGTATTAATGCTGCATTGATTCTCACACAATACTGACACCTGCTGGACATTTAAAGACACTACAGGCAGCTTATTTTACAGACTAAACTATTGATTTGATTACCTAGTACACTGATATAATTATTGTAGGTTATATTGCATTATTTCATAACTATATCTTTGATATTTTTAGAGGCAGCAAATAAATAATGTAAACATATATCATAATGTGAAGATTTAAGGGAAAATGTGAATGAGGATGCTGGTGGACTAGGATTTTTAAAACAATAATTACAGAAAAAAAACAGTAAATAAACAAAAAATCAATTTGAAATGAACTTAAATTCAGATAAGTTGAGTGATAACTAAGAGGAAAAGGATGACACAATGAGAAAATTAAAATTAAAATGCAACGACTGAAATGTTTCTATTCCTTTTAGGCTGCTCCAAAATTCTTGATAATTTTAACGATGAATCACAAAAGATGAGATTTTTTTTTAGCAGATGCGTCATGTTGACAGATACGTTTGTAGTGTTTTGCTCTATGGTCTCAATGCATCGCTGTTGCTGGATCCATCACTACCTTTCATTAATACCAGGTGGATCTGTCTCTGCTCAAAAACCACAGATTGTTCCCAGTCCAGCCCTTATTTAATCCCAGGAAGTTTAAACTCAAACAGATCTATCTAATGTGTGATATTCTTTAAACCCAATTCTAAAATATAACATATCTAGGGTTTTGTTTCCTTTTTCAGATCTCATCCTCTTTACTTGAAGCCCAGTCCAAACAAACCTATA